GCATGGAGGGGGGCATCGGTCGATTTTGGGCGAGAAATCGCGTGGTCGGGGGCTTCAAGAACAGAGCCCAGAGGCCTGGAGATGCCGTGGCCAGGTGGGGCATGGAGGGGGGTAACGGCCGATTTTGGGCGAGAAGTCGCGGGGTCGGGCCTCCCAAGAACAGAGCCCAGAGGCCTGGGGGTGCCGTGGCCAGGTGGGGGGCATGGAGGGGGGTATCGGTCGATTTTGGGGGAGAAATCGCGCGGTCGAGGGTTTCAAGGACAGAGCCCAGAGGCCTGGGGATGCCGTGGCCAGGTGGGGGGCATGGAGGGGGGTGCCGGTCGATTATGGGTATGAAATCGTGGTGTCGGGGGTCCCAAGAACAGAGCCCAGAGGCCTGGGGATGCCGTGGCCAGGTGCCGGGGCCTCTTGGGGGGTGTGGGTCGAGGCATGGTGGGGGGTCTCGGTAAGTTGTGAGCGCGAAATGGTAGGGTGGGGAGGCAGAAAAACAGAGGCTCCATGGGGTGGGTGGGTGCCGGGTCGTGGTGGGGTGTGTGGGTCGAGGCGTGGTGACAATTTGATTTCACACGCCTTCTGGGGTCGGCGCATTGTCTGGTGGGGGGTCCAATGACTGGGCTCTCGTGGAGTGGAGGTGCCAGAGCGTGGTGGCAGCATCGGGGAAAGACATATTCCCTGGGGGGCACGGAGGAAGTATCGGTCGATTCTGGGCGAGAAATCGCGGGGTCGGGGGCCCCAAGAACAGAGTCCAGAGGTCTGGGGATGCCGTGGCAAGGTGGGGGGCATGGAGGAGGGTATCGGTCGATTTTGGGCGAGAAATCGTGGGGTCGGGGGTCTCAAGAACAGAGCCCAGAGGCCTGGGGATGCCGTGGCCAGGTGGGGGGCATGGAGGGGGCATTGGTCATTTTTGGGGAGAAATCGCGGGTCGGGCCTCCAAGAACAGAGCCCAGAGGCGTGGGGATGCCGTGCCAGGTGGGGGCATGGGGGGGGTACCGGTGGATTTTGGGCGAGGAATCGCGGGGGCGGGGGTCTCAAGCACAGAGCCCAGAGGCCTGGGGGCGCCGTGGCCAGGTGGGAGGCATAAAGGGAGGTATCGGTCGATTTGGGGCGAGAAATTGTGGGGTCGCGGGTCTCAAGAACAGAGCCCAGAGGCCTGGGGATGCCGTGGCCTGGCGGGGGGCATGGAGGGGGGAATCGGTCGATTTTGGGTGAGAAATCACGGGGTCGGGGGTCCCAACAACAGAGCCCAGAGGCCCGGGAGATGCCGTGGCCAGGTGGGGGGCATGGAGGGGAGTATCGGTCGATTTTGGGTGAGAAATCGCAGGGTCGGGGGTCCCAAGAACAGAGCCCAGAGGCCTGGGGATGCCGTGGCCAGGTGGAGGCATGGAGGGGGGTGTCGGCGATTTTGGGAAAGAAATCGCGGGGTCCGGGTCCCAGGCCCAGAGGCCTGGGGATGCCGTGGCCAGGTGGGGGGCATGGAGGGGGGTATCGGTCGATGGGTTCGGTCGATTTTGGGCGACAAATCGCGGGGTCGGGGGTCTCAAAACAGAGTTCCAGAAGCCTGGGGGTGCCGTGGCCAGGTGGGGGGCATGGAGGGGGGTATCGGTCGATTCTGGGCGACAAATCTTGGGGTCGGGGGTCGCAAAAACAGAGTTCCAGAAGCTTGGGGGCGCCGTGGCCAGGTGGGGGGCCTTTTTGGGGAGTATCGGTTGATTTGTGGCTAGAAATCGCGAGGCCGGGGGGTCCAAAAACAATGTTCCAGAAGCCTGGGGACGCCGTGGCCAGGTGGGGGGCATGGAGGGGGGTATCGGTCGCTTCTGGGAGAGAAATCGTGGGGTCGGGGGCTCAAAAACAGTTCCAGAAGCTTGGGGATGCCGTGGCCAGGTGGGGGGAATGGAGCGGGGTATCGGTCGATTTTGGGCGAGAAATCGAGGGGTCGGGGGTTCCAGAAACATATTCCAGGAGTCTGGGGATGCCGTGACCAGTTGGGGGGGGGGGCGTGGAGGGGGGTAGCGGTCGAAATTTGGGGGTCGGGTGAGTTCTGAGCGCGAAATTGTCGGGTGGTGAGGTCCGTAAAAGCTTGTGCCCAGAGGCTTCCGGAGGCTGGCGGACGTCAGACGCGGTGGGGGGGGGGGGGGCGGGTTCTGGGCGCGATATTGTCGGGCGCGGGGTCCCTAAAAGCTTGCGCCCAGAGGCTTCCGGAGGCTGGCGGATGTCAGACGCGGCGGGGGGGTCGGGCGGGTTCTGGGCGCGAAATTGTCGGGCGCGGGGTCCCCGAAAGCTTGTGCCCAGAGGCTTCCGGAGGCAGGCGGACGTCAGACGCGGTGGGGGGGACGGGTGGGTTCTGGGCGCGAAAGTGTCGGGTGCGGGGCCCCTAGAAGCTTGTGCCCAGAGGCTTCTGGAGGCTGGCGGATGTCAGACGCGGTGGGGGATCGGTTGGGTTCTGGGCGCGAAATTATCGGGCGCGGGGTCCCCGAAAGCTTGTGCCCAGAGGCTTCCGGTCGCTGGAGTCAGACGCGGTGGGGGGGTCGGGTGGGTTCTGGGCGCGAAATTGACGGGTGCGGGGTCCCAGAGGCTAAAAGCTTGTGCCCAGAGGCTTCCGAGGCTGGCGGATGTCAGACGCGGTGGGGGGGGGGGGAGGTCGGGCGGGTTCTGGGCGCGAAATTGTCGGGCGCGGGGCCCCCGAAAGCTTGTGCCCAGAGGCTTCCGGAGGGGCGGACGTCAGACGCGGTGGGGGGGGGGGACGGGTGGGTTCTGGGCGCGAAAGTGTCGGGTGCGGGGTCCCTAGAAGCTTGTGCCCAGAGGCTTCTGGAGGCTGGCGGATGTCAGACGCGGTGGGGGATCGGTTGGGTTCTGGGCGCGAAATTATCGGGCGCGGGGTCCCCGAAAGCTTGTGCCCAGAGGCTTCCGGTCGCTGGAGTCAGACGCGGTGGGGGGGACGGGTGGGTTCTGGGCGCGAAATTGACGGGTGCGGGGTCCCTAAAAGGTTGCGCCCAGAGGCTTTCTCAAAAGCTTGTGCCCAGAGGCTTCCGGAGGCTGGCGGATGTCAGACGCGGTGGGGGGGTCGGGTGGGTTCTGGGCGCGAAAATGTCGGGTGCGAGGTCTCGAAAAGCTTGTGCCCAGAGGTTCCTGTGGCTGGCGGATGTCAGACGCGGTGGGGGATCGGGTTGGTTCTGGGCGCGAAATTGTCGGGTGCGGGGCCCCTGAAAGCTTGTGCCCAGAGGCTTCCGGAGGCTGGAGTCAGACGCGGCGGGGGGGTCGGGTGGGTTCTGGGCGCGAAATTGTCGGGGGCGGGGGTTCTAAAAGCTTGTGCCCAGAGGCTTCCCGAGGCCGGCGGATGTCAGACGCGGTGGAGGGGGGGGGGGGGGTCGGGTGGGTTCTGGGCGCGACATTATCGGGTGCGGGGTCCTTAAAAGTTTGTGCCCAGACGCGTCCGCAGGCTGGCAAATGTCAGACGCGGTGGGGGGGTCGGGTGGGTTCTGGGCGCGAAATTGTCGGGTGCGGGGTGCCTAAAAGCTTGTGCTCAGAGGCTTCCAGAGGATGGCGGATGTCAGACGCGGTGTGTGGGGGGGGTCGGGTGGGTTCTGGGCGCGAAATTGTCGGGTGCGGGGTCTCAAAAGCTTGTGCCCAGAGGCTTCCGGAGGCTGGCGGATGTCATACGCGGTAGGCTGGTCGGGTGGGTTCTGGGCGCGAAATTGTCGGGTGCGGGGTCCCTAGAAGCTTGTGCCCAGAGGATTTCGGAGGCTGGCGGATGTCAGACGCGTTTGGGGGGGGGAAGGGGGAGGGGGGGGGTGGGCTAGGATCTGAGCGCGAATTTGTCGGGTGCGGGTTCCCTAAAAGCAAAAGGATCGTGTGGGGGGTCCCAAGAACTGAGCTCCTGGGTGGCGGGGCTGCCGGGGCCAGAAGGGGGGCGTTGGTCGGTTTTGGGCGAGAAATTGTCGTGTGGGGGGTCCCAAGAACTGAGCTCCTGGGGGGTGGGGGTGCCGGGGCCAGGGGGGGGCGTTGGTCGGTTTTGGGTGGGGGTCCGAAAAACAGAGGCTCCATGGGAGAGTAGGTTTTGGCGGAGAAATCGCGAGGTGGGACGGTCCAAGAACAGAGGCTCCATGGGGTGGAGATGCCGGGGCGAGGAGGACGGCGTCGGTAGGTTTTGGGCGAGATACCGCAGGGAAGAAGCTCCCAAAAGCAGAGGCTCCATGTGGTAGCGATGCCGGGGCGAGGAGGACTCGTGTACATGTACATGTATAAATGGCAGCGTGTACCATTATTCGCGTACTCGGCCGAGGAAAGGCTGGCGCCCTTTCCCGCACACGCTTTCTGGGGTCGGCGGATTTACATGTTGTGTGAAAACACATGTAGATGCAGATGTGTGTGTGGAGTTCACCGCATTGATTGCACCAACACAGGTTGCATCCGTATGCAACCCATGCGCTGCGCCGCATGGGGCGCGCGCCGAACGTGCAAGAACCCACTGTTCGGGGCCCGCGCTGGCAAACATGTTATCGAACCCGGTGGTGCTTAGATTATTTAATCGCTTCGCTCATGCCGCCGGCCCTGGAGCCCTCTTTAGGGCCTCTTGGGGGCCTCTTGGGGACCTCTTGGGAGTCTCTTGGGGCTCCTTGGCGGCGTTTTGGAGGCCCCCAGGGCCTCTTGGGGGGCTCTTGGGGGTAGTCGATTGCGGCTCCCCCCTCGGAGGCCACGATCCTCGTGAGGGGTGTCGAAAAATACCCTCCCCTGGAGTGGTCTGGTGGCTTCTCCCGGGCTTCTCTCGGGACCTTGCCGGGGTACTTTTCGTCCGGGGGCCCCAGGGGCCGCTCCGCGCGCGCGAACTAGAAATATTGTTCACAAGTTACCGGAGATCTTAGCACGCCTCTGGCCCGTTGGGCCGGCGAATTTGCGCGTGGTCAGGCGCAGCTTGCCCCCAGCTTCCTGGGAGGAGTAGGATACCGACGACAAGGACGAAGATGAGGCGTGCGACCCTCTCCGTTACCCCCCATCCCGGCCAGGTGCTGGGCGTCGTGGTGGTTGCTGCCGGGGTAGCTTCATGCACACTGTTCCGCCGCCCCGGCCCTGAGCAAATGTGCTGTCTGTGGGTCGATGGCGGGGCAGGCGGACGAGGCAACGAAAACCGAACGATGGAGAGGGGGAGAGCAGGAGGCAGGCAGAGGAGACGGCACCAAGGACCAAGGCGGGAGGAGGGAGCGTGGAGGCCAGAGGCGGAGTTGGGGGGGGCGAGGGAAGAGTGTGGAGGGAAGAGGGAGGATGGAGTGTGGAGGGACGAGGAAGGAGCGGGGGTGAGGTCGGAGGGAGTGTGGCGGGGTGGGGGAAAAGGGGAAAAGGGGGGGGTGCGTCGAGGCCGGAGGAGGGAATGCGGGGACGAGGAACAAGGGAAGGGAGTTCTGTCGGACACGGTTTTGATGCGGTCGCAGGTGCCATTTGAAAGGCTCTCGAGGCGAGGCCGGGCGGGCGTCGAGAAATGAGGAACAGGGATGAGGAGGAGGAGGAGGAGGAGGAGGAGGAGGAGGAGGAGGAATAAGAGGAGGATAGTGAGGAGAACGAGGATGTGCGTGTATCCTCTCTTACCTAACCCCCCTCCCCTCACCCGCTGCCCCGACGAGCTCGCCAAGAAGGGTGGGAGTCTGCACGGCGTCGAGGCCGAAGACGTGCATCTCTGGCGTGATCTCGAAAATGCTGCTGGGAGGCCGCGAGCTGGACAGGCCAAGTTCGTGCGTGGGTCGGGGACGGGGAGGTGGGTCGGGACCACGACGAGGTCGGCGAGGTGTGGTCGGAGAGGGGTGCGGCTGAGGAGCCCCCCCCCCGCCACCGCCCCAGCAGCCTCAGGCCCTCCCACCTGCTCCGGTCAGGAGCCCTCCAGCCGATGGCTGGGACGAATTCGCTGACACGGGCCATTGGTGCAATGGCCACCCGCTCCTCTTCGCTCGAGTCACGGCGCGTGATGGGAGAGAAGACGGCCGCCCTGCTTGTTGTTGTTGTTGTTGTTGCGGGCGTGGAGCCTACTTCCACGCGTGTCCAGCCAACGAGGGCCCTGCCGTGGCCTTGTCTGATGGGAGAACGCCGGGACGGGTCAGCAGTCTCGGCTCCGTCGGTTGCGTGCGCGGTAGTGGCCGTCGTATAAGACTTTGGCATCGCTCGGACGTGTGCATTTTGTCCTCGGCTAGGGCCATGGAGGAGCATCCTGGATGACTTGGCGAAAAAAAGCACGCACGAAATCGAATGCGCGAGGAATGGGCGTCCGAGCGATGGCAAGAGGCAGGTGTTGGGGACCCTGTGCTGGACGCACCTGCTGGAGCCCCAGCGGAGGTCCGCGAGCGCCTGCCTGGCCCCCCTGCTTCCTCCCGAGGTGCCTCGCTGGCGAGGCCCCGCCAGAGGCCCCCCCCGGGGGCCCGCCGTCTGGGCCTGGCCCTCCTGTGCCCGACGGCGCCCTGGGGGCCTCCCGTCGGCCCCGAGGGGGGCCGCGGCCCCGGTGGGGCCTTCCTGGGGCGGAGCCGTCGGACGGGTCCAGGGCGGGCATCGGAGGTTGCTAAAGGTGCCCCTGGGCCAAGGTGCCCCCAGCTTTTCGCTCGATTTGGGAGCTCCTGGGACCCTCTGGACCTCGTGATGGGGTGCTCTGGAGGCCGTGGTCGCCTCCTTGAAAATCCTGGGGGTACCTTGGGCCAGGGGCACCTCTAGCAACACCCGAGGGCACTTCGTGCGTTTGACCTCACCGAGGCCGAGCAGGGCGCGGTGGCGAGGCGCGCGGCGCACGCCTCCTGCTCTTCGGCGGCGGGTGGCGCGGCGTCGGACGCCTCGGCCTCCGAGGCCTCCGATTTTTGAGGCCGACCTTGGCCGGCCTCGGCCGCCCGCAGGGCTCTGTCTGGGTAGTCGAAGGCCAGACTGTCAGATCGGATTGGGCCCCCGTTTGCCCCCGTTTGCCAGACTGGGCCTGCCAGATTGGCGCCAGATTGGCTTCAACTACCCAGTCTGTCTCATCTCGTCTCATCTCATCGCCTCCTCCGCTGCCCCTTCCGCCCTGGTCAGGGGAGCAAGAAGTGGCATGAGCATAAAAACCTGGAGGCCCGGGCGGGTTTCTCGGATCGGCGCTGGGGCCCCCCGGCGGCGCCTCCGGCGCCGCCCCTGGCGCGCTCCGCGCGCCCGGGAAGGGGGTCCCGCGCCGGACCTCCGAGTTTTTATGTTAATGCCATTTGTTGCCATAGAAAGATGCATGACCTCCTGCTTGTCAGAGAAGATATCATCGATCAGCTCCATCCTACGGATCATTAGCAGGGTTGCTTCCATGACCCTTACTTCCCACTCCCAGGCAAGGCTCTCGAGGCGAGAAGGCTGCCAGGTTGGGCGGGCATCGAGGAACTGAGATCAGGGATGGGGATGCGAAGGAGGACGAAAGAGAGAAGGATGAGCAGGACGGGTCGGCTACGTCTGAAGACATTCAAGCCGCCAGGCATCAGGAATCAGGAGGAGGAGGAGGAGGAGGAGGAGGAGGAGGAGGAGGAGGAGGAGGAGGAGGAGGGGAGGAGGAGGAGGAGGAGGAGGGAGGAGGAGGAGGAGGAGGAGGAGGAGGAGGAGGAGGAGAGGGAGGAGGGTGGCGGCATCCCATGCGGATCCACGAGCCGATTGCGTCAGCGTCAGGAGGAGAGCGAGGCGGACGAGGGCACGCCCCCGCCCGCGGGGGCAGGCTCGGCGCCAGCACCGGCGGCACGGTGGCGGCAGGCTCGCCGCTCCCCGCCCCTGGCCGCGCCCGCTGGACGCTGTGCTTGGAGGCGGTAGCGCTGGAGGGGGTAATTTGGAGCAGGAGGTGCAGGTGCGTAGGACGGAGGAGGAGGAGCAGGAGGAGGAGGAGGAGGAGGAGGAGGAGGTACAGGAGGAGGTATAGGGGGAGGTATAGGGGGAGGTGTAGGAAGAGGAGGAGGAGGACGAAGAGGAGGAGGAGGAGGAGGAGGAGGAGGAGGAGGAAGAGGGGGAGGAGGAGGGGCAGGAGCAGGAGAAGGACCAGAAGGAGGAGGAAGACGAGGAAGACTCTACAATCCCGAAAATCAAAGTATGCTCTTTGCGAAAAAGAAGGAGGATGGCGAGGAAGATAAGAAGAAGAAGAAGAAGAAGGGGGACGAGGAGGAGGAGGAGGAGGAGGAGGTATAGGTACGTAGGAGGGAGGAGGACGAGGAGGAGGAGGCGGTACGTAGGAGCGCGGAGGAGGAGGAGGAGGAGGGGCAGAAGGAGAAATGGCAGGAATAGGAGGAGGGGCAGGAGGGGAAGAAGAGCAAGACAGCGACGACAGAAGAAGAGGGTGGTGGGAGGGGATGGGGAAGGATGGGGGGGGGATGGGAGGGGATGGGGATAGAGGATGGGTACTCTTGCATCCTTGGGTTTTCGGTTGCGCCCCTCTCGAAAAGTGTCGGCATAGCCTTCCAAGGCTCTTGAACCTTCATCGTGTATCTTTGTTCCCAACCCTCCTTGGTTGGGTTTTCGTTTTGAACAGAGCACCGTGGTCGCGTCTTGCTCCTCCCGCCTCCTGCCTCCCTCTTGTCTCCTCTCGCCGTGTGGGTTGAGGCATCGCGCAGATTTGAGCGAGACCTCCCCCTCCCTGGGTGGCTGCGATTTATGAAACTGCCGCCAGTTTCGAGGGCTGCTGGCGAGGCCAGCAGATCCAAACAGGACCTCGCCATCCCTGGGGGGCTGCGATCTGTGAGACTGTCGCCACTTTCGAGGGCTGCTGGGGAGGCCAGCAGAGAGGGTACTCACCGCGGATCCAAACAGGACCTCGCCATCCCTGGGGGGCTGCGACCTGTGAAACTGTCGCCACTTTCGATGGGCTGCTGGGGAGGCCAGCAGAGAGGGTACTCACCGCGGATCCAAACAGGACCTCGCCATCCCTGGGGGGCTGCGATCTGTGAAACTGTCGCCACTTTCGAGGGCTGCTGGGGAGGCCAGCAGAGAGGGTACTCACCGCGGATCCAAACAGGACCTCGCCATCCCTGGGGGGCTGCGATCTGTGTCGCCACTTTCGAGGGCTGCTGGGGAGGCCAGCAGAGAGGGCACTCACCGCGGATCCAAACAGGACCTCGCCATCCCTGGGGGGCTGCGATGTGTGAATATGTCGCCACTTTCGTGGGCTGCTGGGGAGGCCAGCCGAGAGGGTACTCACCGCGGATCCAAACAGGACCTCGCCATCCCTAGGGGGCTGCGATCTGTAAAACTGTCGCCACTTTCGAGGGCTGCTGGGGAGGCCAGCAGAGAGGGTACTCACCGCGGATCCAAACAGGACCTCGCCATCCCTGGGGGGGCTGCGATCTGTGAAACTGTCGCCACTTTCGAGGCCTGCTGGGGAGGCCAGCAGAGAGGGCACTCACCGCGGATCCAAACAGGGCCTCGTCATCTCTGGGGGGCTGCGACCTGTGAAACTGTCGCCACTTTCGATGGGCTGCTGGGGAGGCCAGCAGAGAGGGTACCCACACGCGGACCCAAATTACACCTCGCCATCCCTGGGGGGCTGCGATCTGTGAAACTGTCGCCAGTTTCGAGGGCTGCTGGGGAGGCCAGCAGAGAGGGTACTCACCGCGGATCCAAACAGGACCTCGCCATCCCTGGGGGGCTGCGATCTGCGAAACTGTCGCCACGTTCGAGGGCTGATGGGAAGGCCAGCAGAGATGGCACTCACCGCGGATCCAAACAGGGCCTCGCCATCCCTGGGGGGCTGCGATCTGTGAAACTGTCGCCACTTTCGATGGGCTGCTGGGGAGGCCAGCAGAGAGGGCACTCACCTCGGATCCAAACATGACCTCATCTTCCTTGGGGGCTGCGATCTGTGAAATTGTCGCCACGTTCGAGGGCTGCTGGGGAGGCCAGCAGAGAGGGTACTCACCGCGGATCCAAACAGGACCTCGCCATCCCTGGGGGGCTGCGATCTGTACAACTGTCGCCACATTCGAGGGCTGCTGGGGAGGCCAGCAGAGAGGGCACTCACCGCGGATCCAAACAGGACCTCGCCATCCCTGGGGGGCTGCGATCTGTGAAATTGTAGCCACTTTCGAGGGCTGCTGGGGAGGCCAGCAGAGAGGGTACTCACCCCGGATCCAAACAGGACCTCGCCATCCCTGGGGGGCTGCGATGTGTGAATCTGTCGCCACTTTCGTGGGCTGCTGGGGAGGCCAGCAGAGAGGGCACTCACCGCGGATCCAAACAGGATCTCGCCATCCCTGGGGGGCTGCGATCTGTGAAACTGTCGCCACGTTCGAGGGCTGCTAGGGAGGCCAGCAGAGAGGGTACTCACCGCGGATCCAAACAGGACCTCGCCATCCCTGGGGGGCTGCAACCTGTGAAACTGTCGCCACTTTCGATGGGCTGCTGGGGAGGCCAGCAGAGAGGGCACTCACCGCGGATCCAAACAGGACCTCGCCATCCCTGGGGGGCTGCGATCTGTACAACTGTCGCCACATTCGAGGGCTGCTGGGGAGGCCAGCAGAGAGGGCACTCACCGCGGATCCAAACAGGACCTCGCCATCCCTGGGGGGCTGCAACCTGTGAAATTGTAGCCACTTTCGAGGGCTGCTGGGGAGGCCAGCAGAGAGGGCACTCACCGCGGATCCAAACAGGACCTCGCCATCCCTGGGGGGTTGCGATATGTGAAATTGTCGCCACGTTCGAGGGCTGCTGGGGAGGCCAGCAGAGAGGGCACTCACCGCGGATTCAAATTAGACCTCGCCGTCCCTGGGGGGCTGCGATATGTCAAACGGTCGCCACTGTCGAGGCCTGCTGGGGGGCCCAGCGCAGTGACGCCACGGACCTCAATTAGACATCGCCATCCTTGGGGGGCCCAGCACAGTGACGCCACGCGCGGACCCAAATTAGACATCGCCATCCCCGGGGGGTTGCGATCTGCGAAACTGTCGCCGCTTTCGAGGGCTGCTGGGGGGCCCAGCACAGTGACGCCACACGCGGACCCAAATTAGACCTCGCCATCCCTGGGGGGCTGCGATCTGTGAAACTGTCGCCAGTTTCGAGGACTTCTGGGGGGCCCAGCACAGTGACGCCACGCGCAAACCCAAATTAGACCTCGCCATCCCTGGGGGGCTGCGATTTGTGAAACTGTCGCCACTTTCAAGGCCTGCTGGGGGGCTCAGCACAGTGACGCCACATGCAGATTCAAATTAGACCTCGCCATCCCTGGGGGGCTGCGATCTGCGAAACGGTGACCATGTTCGAGGGCTGCTGGTGGGTCCTGCAGAGTGAGGCACCGCGCGGATCTGAGCGGGACCTCGCCGTCCCTGGGTGGCTGCGATTTGCGAAGCTGTCGCCATTTTCGAGGGTTGCTGGTGGGTCCTGCGGAGTGAGGCACCGCGCGGACCTGAGCGGGACCTCGTCGTCCCTGGGGGGCTGCGATCTGCGAAACGATCGCAACGTTCGAGCGCTGCTGGTGGGTCCTGCGGAGTGAGGCACCGCGCGGACCTGAGTGGGACCTCGTCGTTCATGGGGGGCTGCGATCTGCGAAACTGTCGCCACTTTCGAGGGCTGCTGGTGGGTCCTGCGGAGTGAGGCGCCGCGCGGATCTGAGCGGGACCTCGCCGTCCCTGGGAGGTTGCGATCTGCGAAACGGTTGCCATTTTCGATGGCTGCTGGTGGGTCCTTCGGAGTGGGGCACCGCGCAGACTTGAGCGGGACCTCGCCGTCCCTGGGGGGCTGCGATCTGCGAAACTGTCGCCACGTCCGAGGGCTGCTGGTGGGTCTTGCGGAGTGGGGCACCGCGCAGATCCGAGCGGAATTCTGCCGTCCTTGAGGGGTTGCGATCTGCGAAATTGTCGCCACTTTCGAGGGCTGCTGGTGGGTCCTGCGGAGTGAGGCACCGTGCGGATCTGAGCGGGATCTCGCCGTCCCTGGGGGGTTGCGATCTGCGAACCGGTCGCCATGTTCGAGGGCTGCTGGTGGGTCCTGCAGAGTGAGGCACCGCGCGGATCTGAGCGGGACCTCGCCGTCCCTGGGTGGCTGCGATTTGCGAAGCTGTCGCCATTTTCGAGGGTTGCTGGTGGGTCCTGCGGAGTGAGGCACCGCGCGGACCTGAACGGGACCTCGCCGTCCTTGGGGGGGTGCGATCTGCGAAACTGTCGCCACTTTCGAGCGCTGCTGGTGGGTCCTGCGGAGTGAGGCACCGCGCGGACCTGAGCGGGACCTCGCCGTCCCTGGGGGGCTGCGATCTGCGAAGCTGTCGCCACGTTCGAGGGCTGCTGGTGGGTCCAGCGGGGCGAGGCACCAGGCAGATCTGAGCGGGACATCGCGAGCCTCACAAATGCCGCTCGCAGAAGTATATGCGCCCATGTCACGTCAACACCTCCGTATAACGTCTCCCAAGCTACTCATGCCCCGCATTGCGCAGGGGTTGGGTACCTCGCCAGGATACTTTTCACTTTGGACTGTAGCAGGAACGGGAGGAGGGGGGAGGCGGAGGCGGTGTAGCACGGCAGAATTGTTTGAGTTGTAGTAGTTGCATTGAGATGTGTTACGGTGTGGCTAGAGGCGCCCCATAAAAGTAATGAAAGGCGCTATCCATCACCATGGCTACTTGAGGAAATACATGGTTGAGCACGTCTCTTCTCGCTTCCCTCCACTACATGCCCATCTATCAACTACGGGGTGCGCAGGCCGAGGCCGAGCATTCCCTTTCGTTTCCAAATTACCCCCTTGGCTTCTGTGGTGGGCAGGGAGGTCGGCATGAGGCATCGGGCCTTCACCGCGTGGCTCGCGGCGCGCGCTGGAGAGCGGAGCGGGGTCTGCCGTCTCATTCGCCCTCTTGCATTGCTGGTGCGTTCGGTGGGTCTGTCCATCCCTTCCCGCAGGGTGATTACGGATGGTGGAGAAGGCCTTCAGTCTGCGGATCCAGGAAGGAGGAGGGGGAGCGAGGAGGGAGGAGGAGGAGGAGGAGGAGGAGGAGGAGGAGGAGGAGGAGGAGGAGGAGGAGGAGGAGGAGGAGGAGGAGGGAGGAGGGCAGGGGAGATTGGCGGCAGGGAAAAGCTGCGGCGCCGAACCATGTTGGCGGGGGCTGCGAGGCGGCGCGGCCGCCGAGCTGGGGAAGCGGTTGCTGGTGTTGCGGAACGTGGCGGGGCTTGCTTGCGGCTACGGCTTTATCTCCTTCTCGCTCGCGCTGAAGGAGACATCCGCCAGCAGGGCAAGCGGGCGGCACGGTGGGTGGGAAAACAGGATGCGTTTGAAGCCCAAGATGGTTTGGATGATGAGGAGAAGGATTCGTAAGAGAAGAGCGGAAGGAGGAATTTGATCACCACAGGAAGAGTACGGAGTAAGATAACAATGGTATGAAGCATGGAGACGAACAGTTAACACATAGTGATACGAACGTTCTGAGGAAAAGAAGGGAAGTGGTAACAGGATTAGGAGGCCCCGTGCACGTGGCCGTGATAAGTCCCCCCGAATGCATCGGTGCAGTCCGGCCGTGGCTCCAGGCTGTGGTCGGGTGTGTCCCTTGTTCTCGGTGCGTTCGTCGGGCGGGTCCGCAACATCTACTGAACACCTTTCATGGATGGGGAGGAGGGGCCGACAAGGCGGATAGACGGGGGGCGCAGGCGCGGGTGTAGGTGCAGATGGAGGCGGAGGTGGAAAAGGATGAACAGGAGGATGGAACGGAGGAGGCCTTGGGAGGATGAGGAGGGATGATGGGGTTGAGGAGGAGTGGGGGAAGGAGGACGTGGGAGGCGGATTGGGCGGAGAAGGAAAAGGACCAGAGCGAACCCAAGATGCGTCAGTGATGCTGCGATACGCTCTCCTGTCCCAAGTCCCCTTCTCAACATTTCCTGCATGCGTTCTTGTTCGCTGGGCGAGCCCCCAACGCCCCTCCTGGAAAGACAAGCGGGGCGCCCCATGGGCCCAGGATTCGGGCGGCGCTTAACTTTCGAGAGAATGCGCCCCCCCTGTTTCGAACGATACAGAACGCCGCATTTTGAAAATGGGCCGCTCTCAAGATGTGGAACTTTTGTTGTTACTCTTCTGTCCCTGGTCGCTTCCTGCCGCCGCAAGCCGCCCCGCAGCCGCCTGCCGTACATGTAACGTTCTTACAGGACGACACGTACTTAATCAAGCATCGTGGGCCCGCCTCCGCGCGCGTGAAAGGAGTCAGGATCGTCGTCGTCGTCCCTCCTCTTCCCTATCCTGTTCTATTGCGCCCATTGGTCCACAGCTCCACGGACTATTGAATCACAGAAAGCACGTCCGTTATACCCATCATGGGCGATGATAGCTGTACACCGCACTCACATCTATACCCCTGGGTGGGTGTATGTGCGGCCGTTTTTGCGCTGTCATGTGCGCGCATGTGCGCGGCATGTGCCAGTCATGTGCCAGGCCTGTGCGGTCCTTCTTGGATGGACTTCCTACTGTGCACGTCGTGCCCGGGCATGTGCGGGGGCATGTGCGCTGTGTTTTGATGTATCCATCATACGCACATGCACGCACAGTCCGACGCACATGCGCGCACATGCCTGCACATGCGGGAGGTGTTCGAGAATCGCAGATCTGTCATCGGCACATGCACGCACATGCCTGTGCAACCTCTCTTCGGGAGGCCGCGCGGGCCCGCACATGCACGCACATGCGGTGAAGCGCGCGGGCGCACATGCGTGCACATCCCAATGCACATGCACGCTCATGCCCTAGGAGCTGTCTGGGACCCCTGTGCCTCCAATGCCTCCTGGCCTTCGCAGAGCTAACCTGGGGCGTGCCAGGGCTTCCTGAAAGAGTTTGTTGTGCGTTTAGACTCGCCCGCTGCTGGCGGGGGCGGTTCTTCGCCCGGTTCGTGAGCTGGCGGTGGCGCGCCCGCCTAATAAAATCTTCTCCCGCGCGCCTTCTCAGCTCGGCCGGAGAAGCAGGGATGGGGGGGGGGCGAGGTGGAGGGGAGGGGGAGGAGAGGGGGGCGGAGAAGGCGGGCGCCCCCGGCTCGGCTGGCCCGCCTGCCTGTTCGGCTCGGCCAGAGGAGAAGGAGGAGGAGGAGGAGTAGGAGGAGGAGGAGGAGGCGGAGGAGGAAGAGGAGGAGGAGGAGGAGGAGGAGGTGAGAGTTGCGAGGACGTCTCAGGCGAAAGTGGCTTGACGGCCCGTCTTGGCGGCTTCTTGGACGGCCTCGGCGTTATTTTTGGCCGCCTCGGGGCTTTGTGTGGGCCATTTTGCCGGGCCTTTTCGGTTATTTTCTACGTCAAATAGCCAACCACTTTTCTACTACAGCACCGGCCCCGGCCGGTAGTAGAAAAATCGTGGCATCTAGGCCCGTCTGGACGGCTTCTTGGACGGCCTTGGCGCTATTTTTGGCTGCCTCGGGGCTTTGTTCGGGCCCTTCTGCCGGGCCTTTTCGGCTATCTTCGACGTCAAATAGCCAACCATTTTTCTACTACAGCAACGGCCCCGGCCGGTAGTAGAAAAATCGTGGCATCTGGGGCCGTCTGGACGGCTTCTTGGACGGCCTTGGCGTTATTTTTGGCTGCCTCGGGGCTTTGTTCGGGCCCTTCTGCCGGGCCTTTTCGATTATCTTCTACGTCAAATAGCCAACCATTTTTCTACTACAGCACCGGCCCCGGCCGGTAGTAGAAAAATCGTGGCATCTGGGGTCTGGCGGCTTCTTGGACGGCCTTGGCGCTATTTTTGGCTGCCTCGGGGCTTTGTTCGGGGGCGTTATTCGGCTATCTTCGACTTCTGCCGGGCCTTTTCGGCTATCTTCTACGTCAAATAGCCAACCATTTTTCTACTACAGCACCGGCCCCGGCCGGTAGTAGAAAAATCGTGGCATCTGGGGCCGTCTGGACGGCTTCTTGGACGGCCTTGGCGTTATTTTTGGCTGCCTCGGGGCTTTGTTCGGGCCCTTCTGCCGGGCCTTTTCGGCTATCTTCGACGTCAAATAGCCAACCATTTTTCTACTACAGCACCGGCCCCGGCCGGTAGTAGAAAAATCGTGGCATCTAGGCCCGTCTGGACGGCTTCTTGGACGGCCTTGGCGCTATTTTTGGCTGCCTCGGGGCTTTGTTCGGGCCCTTCTGCCGGGCCTTTTCGGCTATCTTCGACGTCAAATAGCCAACCATTTTTCTACTACAGCAACGGCCCCGGCCGGTAGTAGAAAAATCGTGGCATCTGGGGCCGTCTGGACGGCTTCTTGGACGGCCTTGGCGTTATTTTTGGCTGCCTCGGGGCTTTGTTCGGGCCCTTCTGCCGGGCCTTTTCGATTATCTTCTACGTCAAATAGCCAACCATTTTTCTACTACAGCACCGGCCCCGGCCGGTAGTAGAAAAATCGTGGCATCTGGGGCCGTCTTGGCGGCTTCTTGGACGGCCTCGGCGCTATTTTTGGCTGCCTCGGCCACCGGCGAGCTCGGCCTGTGCGAATACTGTGCGTACCTGTGCAGTGCATGTGCGGGACGTGCACGAATGCCGGGGCCGGCGTTCGTCTCCGGACGCCGGCGCGTTCGCGTCCGGCCAGTTCCGCGTGAGACGTCGTCGGCAATCTGGAGGCCGACGTGCTTTGACATGAAGTGATCTGGCCACCTTCGCCTGAGACATCCTCGCAACTCTGGTCTCGGAGATGCCCTGCCCCATGGTGGCCCGGCCACTTTCGCTTGAGACATCCTCGGGACTCTGGGTTTCGAGACGCCCTGAGCTGAGGTGGTTAGACCACTTTCGCCTGAGACATCCTCGCAACTCTGACCTCAGAGATCTCCTGCCCCATGCTGGTCAGGCCACGGTCGCCTGAGACATTCTCGCAAGTCTCGATTCCGATATGCCCCGAGCTGAGGTGGTCAGCCACTGTCGCCTGAGACATCCTCGCAACCCTGATCTCAATGATGCCCTGCTCGATAGTGTCTCGGCCCCTTTCGCCTGAGACATCCTCGGAACTCGGGGTTCCGAGACGCCCTGAGCTGAGGTGGTTAGACCATTTTACCTTTGGATATCCTCGCCCGAGATGCCCTGAGTTGAGCTGTTCAGGCCACTTTTGCCTGAGACATCCTCGCAACTCTGACCTCAATGATGCCCTGCTCCATAGTGTCTCGGCCTTTTTCGCCTGAGACCCTCGCAACTCTGGGTTCTGAGATGCCCTGAGCAGGTGGTCAGGCCAGTCCTGCCTGAGACATCCTCGCAACTCTGGGCTCCGAGATGCCCTGGGCTGAGGTGGTCAGACCACTCTCCCCAGAGACATCCTCGCAACTCTGACCTCAGAGATCTCTTGCCCCATGGTGGTCAGGCCACTTTCGCTTGAGACATCCTCACAACTCAGACCTCGGAGGTGTCCTGCCCCATGGTCGTCTGGTCACCTTGACCAGCGACATCCTCGCCACTCTGGTTTCCAAGATGCCCTGCCCCATGGTGATCCGGCCACGCTTGCCTGAGACATCCTCGGAACTCTGGGTTGCGAAATGCCCCGAGCTCAGGTGGTCAGGCCACTATCGCCTGCGACATCTCTGCGGCATGTGCGGGCATGTGCGTCTATGCTTTCAGAGTTTTGCTTGACCGTGCATTCGACTGTGCGTCGGACGGTGTGGCATGTGCGCGCATGTGCGGCAATGCTGTTGAGGCTTTTGTATACTTGCATGGGCATGTGCATGCGACTGTGCGGCATGTGCCTGCATGTGCGGCCCCTTCCGGACCACAATTTCAAAGTGAGCACTATAGAAGTGAGCGCTATAGAAGTGAGTCCGGTGTACGTTACCATCACCTTCGTATATCATGTTTGCCCGAAACCGTTCTTCTTGCGAATGAATGGTTATCCACCGATGATGGGAATATTGCATTTGACATACAAATAGCACTTGTAAATCGTATCCACGCGATAGTTCCATTGGAGACCGCACAAGATCAGCCGAGTATCCCGCTAATGATGCTTCAGGTTAGATAATTCCAGCACTTCCCGTCGTTCGTTAATTGACGACGCCCCGGCGTCGATGGAAGGCTGCGATTTGGCGCTGGCCCAAGCGATGGGAGTGGGAGACAAATTGGGCCACCAACTCGACGCGACGATCGAGATGATAATTTGAATTCTGAGATCGCTTCTATCAGAGAGAGGAAAACTTGAATTGCACTTCGACTGGACCACACAAGGGATAGCACAGGAGAGACGCCCGAGGCAAAGCGCCCCGAAGTACCTGGGGACGCGGTCGCGAGGCT